ATGATGCATGGAGGGGATTGGAACCATGGCAATGAAATGATATATGATGGAATGAATGTAAAACTAAAGTTCTCTCATGTAAACTATCATATAATTCAAAATAAAACATTAAAAAAATACAACTGGGGAGAAGAGGATAGAGTTGGGGGGCTATCAAGTGAATTCATAATTCTTTATTTCTTAATAAAGTGATACACTATTTGTTATTTATGTATCTCTCAAATATTTTAACTTATTTTAAACAAAGACGTATCAGTAATTCACAGTGATGCTATTAAGAGAGAGTAAATGAAGGTCCCAGGTCACGGTGTAGAAGATGAGACAGCATGAATGCAGACTTCAGCCTGGGAAAGTAGGAAGAATAGTATCAAAGGGAGACGTGTTTGAAAAGATGGAGTAAAGAGATATTTTGAATTATAGTTGGGAGAAGTTGAGAAATTACAAGCCCTTCTTCCCTTCTTTAGGAAATCGAACTGGAGTTCTGGCTTTCAGCTGAAGACAGGGAGTTTTCTGGGAGGATGTATTACATGTCTAGGGCTGTTGTAACAAATTACCACAACCTTGGTTGCTTTTAACAGAAATGGGTTCTCTTCCAGGTCCGGAAGCCCAAAGTCTGGAATCAAGGCGTCGGTAGGGCTGTGCTCCCTCTAGAGGATCTGAGGAGAATCTTGTCTTTGTCTCTTTTAGCTTCTAGTGACTGCAATCCTTGGCATTCTCTGGCTGTAGCTCCATCACTCAAATCTTGTCCTCTTGTCTTCTCACTGTCTTTCCCCTGTGTGTGTTTGTGTGTGGAGGTGGGGGGGATATCTAAGCTCCCTCACCCTCTTGTTTATAAGAATACTTTTGGTAACATTTAGGGCCCATCTGGATTGTCCAGCATGATCTCTGGGCCACAAGATCCTTATCTTAATTGCATCTGCAAATACTCTTTTTCCAAATAAGGTAACAGTCACAGGTTCCAGCTAGGTGGCAAAATCGGTTTGTTTTCCTGCCAACCAAAAGGTCGTCAGTTCTAACCCACCATGGGTACTGTCGAAGAGATGGTGATCGGCTTCTGCTAAGATTACTGCCAAAGAAACCCAGTGGAGCAGCTGGACTCTAACACATGGGGTCACCACAGAAGAAGCAACCCGACAGCAACCACCACCAGCAGCTAGTTTCCACAACGGTCTGCCCTCTGAGGTGGGCATATTATTCCTCTTCAGGATGAGCATTAGGGCTGGGGGAAAAAAATCTCTGAAATTCATCTCACCTGAGAGGAACTGAGAGCCGTGAATTCACTTCACTAACTAAGATCAAATGGATTTTTATGGACAGATACAGACCAGGAACCTAGGTTCTGGCCCTGAGTCCAAAGGTAAAGAATACGGAACCCAAGTTCGGGAGATTTGCCAGGAGACCGATTTTCTTAATATTGAGTCCCTAGCAACACACCCACCACCCATCTGTGTGTGTGTCATCACCGGGGTGATTGGGGTGTTGCTGTGATTCTGGAAGCCATGCCCCTGGTATTTCAAATACCAGCAGGGTCACCCACAGTGTCCAGGTTTCAGTGGATCTTCCAGACTAAAATTAGAACACGTGAGTCAATGAAAACCCTATGGAATATTTTCTGATATAGTTCTCGAAGACCCTCAGAGATAATACACCGTGATTGCAACAGTGGATAAGAGTTTACCAAACATTATGAAGTGGGTACAGGCTTAGGCAATGTTTTGTTCTGTTGTACCAGAAGTCCCCAGGCATCAGAGCCCACTCAAGAGGAACAAACAAATAGCAACAAACCAGAAGGCACAATCTGTTGTTGAGTTGGAATGGTTCTTCCAATCACAGCCTAAAAGGCAGGTACACAGCACAGAAACAGCTAGCCGGGGGACAATCCCTCCCTCACCAGTGTCCAGTTTCTGTCTCCTCTCTCCGTTGTCCTAACACTCACCCTGGGAGGGGCTCATTAGTATTACCAATCTATACACCAGGAACAAGAGACACAAGAGATTATTGCTTGGGATTCCCAGCCAGGAAGCAGAGGCGCTGGGACGGGACCACAGCCTGTTTTGCCTACAAGACCCTGCCCTGTCCGTGATCTGCTCCATGTCGGGGACTCTGGGGTTCTTCAGAGAAGAACCAGCTTTTGTCATCATTTCCCAGCCTGCTCCCATCCCTTAGAAGGAAGAGGCTAGCTAGAATATAATATAAAGGGTTTTGATATTAAGTCTGCCCCCACCTCCGTCTTTGTTGTTAAGTGCCGTTGAGTTGTTCTGACTTACAGGGTTTGGGAGGAGTGGCTGGTGGATTTGAACCACCAACCTTCAGTTAACAGTCCAGTGCTTTTCTTACAGCGCCATGCCAGGACTTCGCTTCTTTCTTTGTTGTTATTGTTAAGTATCCTCGAATCGGGTTTCGATTCTTAGCGACCCCATAGAGAGTTTCCAAAGAGCAGTTGGTGGGTTTGAACTGCAGACCTTGTGCTTCGCAGTCCAGTGCTGATCCTACAGCGCCACACCACGAGTGTACTACTTTCTTAAGGCGCCAAGGAAATTTGTAATGTAGTTACAATGAAGCAACCAGGCCCTACTGAGTTCTTCTGCCAGAGGGAAGATGATCCTCGACGGGGAGGGAGTCATTCAAGCAGAGCTGCTCCACCGCCCCCTAGAGGACACGGCTGGGGCTGAGTCTGTTCCCTTTCCCTCGGTACTGGCCCTAAATATCATGAAGTGGGAGCAGGAGAATGAGGAGCCGAGGACTTCCACCCCCGATGGATGAAACCAGCTCAGTGTCATATACCTGAGTGCTGAGCGCAGTTCCCTGGGCCTCGCCATGAGCCTGGAAACAGGGGCCAGCGGATTCTGCCACGAAACACACATGAGTGGCTCCAAATCAGGGTTCTGGGGCCAGGCCAGCGTTTGCCTCTCCCTCCACGTCTCTGCAGAACTACTAAAAACGGTCTCTTCCCCAGCAGGAAAAGCATACGTTCTTTCCATATAGAGGAGAAATTGTTCCGAGAGTGAGTAAGCTTCTTGGCAGCGGAGACGCCCGAGCCCGCAGCACGCCGGCCAGGAAGAAGGCAGCGCCAGTTACGGCGCTTGGACTCGGACTAGGCTGGCTCCACACCCCGGAGACAATGGGCCCGGCTACTAGGACGGGGTGGGCTTAGTGGGGAGAGACTGGGGGGCTGGGGGTGGGAGACCTTAGGACAGCTAGTGACCAGGGGAGGAGCAAGAGGACACTCCCCTCCCCCCCCCCCAATAGAATCACCTTGCTCCCTCCCTCCCAGCCCCACGGAGAGTTGTCCAATCTCTGCTCTCCCTGCCCTGGAGTCTGTGGTCAGCAGCAAACGGGGCTGAGTCACAAGTGACTCAGGTGTGCCCCATGAGGTGGGGCTGTTTTCAGACAGTCATTTCCAGTCATTCCCAGCGTCTCCTTGGTGTCTGCCAGGGGTTAGGTGGCAGAACGTAACTCCTCCCTGATGTCTCCGGTGGTCACCCTCCACTGCCACTTGAGAGGGCAGGTTTTGTGACTAGCCAGGGGCTGAGGGCCCTGCTCTTCCCCATGGATCAGCTGGTTCTAGATTCTCTTTCCACCCTCTCCCTGTGTGACCTAATAGTGTCTGTTAAGGACTTATTGAGCATGAGGGCAGTGGGAAGGGACAGGGAAGCCAGGATAGGTTGGGACAGGTGGGTCAGCTGGTGGTGAGGCAGAGGAGAAATTTGGAGGGAGTTCACATAAGGAGGAAATGGCAGAGAAATTGGGGGGAGTCCCTGGCTGGTGCTAATGGTGAATGTGTTACAAATGAAAAGTTAAGGTGGTTCAAGTCCACCCAAATTTGCCCAGTAAGAAAGGCTTGGTGATCTATCTACTTCCAAAAAATCAGTGATCGAGAAAGCCCTATGTTAGGGCTTTCAGACTCAGGTGGACTTCCCTGGTGCATAGCTTTTCACGTGTGTTGTCATAGTTTGTTGCCAGTGTGTCTTGTGTAACTTCTTAAGGATCCCTGGTGGCACTGTGAGTTAAGCACTGGGCTGCTAGCCACAAGTTTTGCAGTTCAAACCCACCAGTCAGTCTGGGGGTGGAAGAGGAGGCTGTCTGACCCTGTAAAGATTCAGCCTCAGATATGAGTCAGAATCTACTTAATGGCGGTGGGTTTGGGTTTGGCGTGTGACTCTTTCCTCACAGTTCCACCTCATGAGGCCTTTTCACGTTGCTGATTTCCCTTTGTATTCTCTTGCTGTAATAAACCATGAGCACAACTAAAAACTGAAACAAACGTATGGAACACAGTTCTACTCTGACACATGCGGGTCACCGTGCAATAAACTCAGCTCCATGACCAACTGTTTGGTTGTTGTTTTGGTGAATCGTGAAGGTGAAAGATTCAGGGGGAGAGGTAAAGGAAGAAATGAAAACCAGCTTCAGACATATGACAGGTCACTACATGTGAATGGCCTTGGATTGCTCCTGGGTGGCAGGTGTAGGGGGCTAGCCCTGGGGGTCCAGCCCTCTGTGGAGTAAGCCTTCAAAGGCAATGAATTCTGTCAATGGGTACATCCAGGGTAAGGGTGGCTGGTCCCTAGTTGAAAGGAGTCAGGTGTCAGATGGCCATGGGCCTAGAGCTGAGGTCTCTAACTAGTGGTCTACGGGTCAGACACAGCCCTGATGACGGGTCAACTGGCCAGCATTTCTGCACAGCTACTGTTAATGGACCTGACATTTGCCCACATCAGACAGACAGACAGACAGATACACACACAAACACACACACACACTCTCTCTCTCTCTTGGGTCCCCAGGGTCTGGTTCATCATTATCTTACTGGACTGGTCCCCTAGGGATTGAAATATGTAAGTCTTGGAGCAGAGGCCCTTTAGTCTGTGACCATACCTCCGGAGGTTCATTCTGGAGGCCCACCTGGGTCAGGTGGAGGAGACCGTGCCTTGTTAGATGTGCTCAGGTAAGACAGGATCGCATGAGCTGTCCTGCTCTGACCTGAGTGTGTAAGAGTTGAGATTCCAGGTAGAGCTCCCCTCAGCCTAGGAACCACCTCCCTTGACACCCTTACCTGCACCCCCCTAACTGCTAGGACACCTGGGACCTCTCTCTTGGTCTCTAAAAACTGTTCACTCCCAGGCCTTTCTGCCCTCAGTGAGTCTAGAATGCTGGAGAAGGGGACCCAGGACAGGAGTGGAACAAATTCAAAGTAAGACCCTCCCTCCATCTCTACTTCCTGCTGGGAGACCAAGGAAGTAAGCCCACTGCAGTAGGTAAAAAGGGATAGGACTGACCTGGGAAAGCAAAGTGGGGGAACTAAAGCAATTGGGGAGAAGGGACTAGAATGCAAGTCAGTGAGTGCCAGGAAGCCCCACTCCAGCTCCTCCCTGTGTGCAGGGCTCAGAACTGAGGGTGAAAGACCAGGATAGAGGGGCATAGGGCAAGGAGATTCCACATGACAGTTCAGGCTAACTGCTGTGGATTTCAAAGTGGTTCTACTTTACTGGTCCCATTTGCTTCCATAATAGCTTTGGGAGTAAGGACTAATGTCATTTTACAAATGAAGAGACTGAGGCAGATGATCCTAGTTAACATATTACAGCCGGGCTTCGGGAATTTACTGGGTGGTTTCCTAGGGTGGAGCACACAGTTAATGTGAGATTCTTGTCCACTGTTGCTCCACGTGTCTCCAAAGCTGGTGCTCTTCCTGGGACCTCAATGTTTGCTTTTTACATGATTGTGTGTTTTTACTCAACTGGGAAACTAGCTGCACAGGAGAGAGAGAGCCCCCATGTGGGAACCAGAGCCTGTAGCAGACACTGCTTTCTAGGGTCCTGACCATGGCTCTGGCTGCGGTACTTGAGAAGCAAGGGTGGAAAACGGAAGGGTTGGGGGACAAGGGGGTGAGAGAGGGTGCCTCTTCAGGTTTCCTTTCCCCTCAGATTATGTAATATCACAGCCTGAATGAAGCAGGAATTCAGGTTAAAACCTTCCTTCGGGAATGCTTCTCCTTTGTGAATCTTGGTTTGTTTCTCCTTTCAAGGAAGCTGGGTGTCAGGCAGCCTGTGGCATCTCTGTGCCATTTGGACCAAGTTCCAGCACTTCCCTGAGCCTCTGCTTCTGAGCCTGTGAGGACAGCCTTGCGGATCTCAGGAGCTGCCTACCTAGCCATTTTTTAAGGCAACCCTTAGTGTCCCACAGGCTCCGACTTCCATAATGCAAACACATGATCCAAGGGCACCACCTAGTGGCCAGTCTCAGCTAGCTATGGCGAACTTGGAAAGTTCGTAAAAATCATAAAACAGCAAAGGTTTGAATCACAACCCCAAGACTCAGGAGACAGAGTAGGAGAGAGCAAGCTGCTCTTCCCCATAACCCAGCTGTGGAAGAGTCCCCTGGCTTCTCAGAGGTGCCATTTCTGAGTCAAAGCACAGTCTGAGTGAGGAGGAACGCTGAGTGGTTCATGTGCTCAGCTGTTCTCCCACGTTTGGAGTTTTGAGCAGGAGTATGGCGCTGTGGGTTAATGCGCTGGACTGCAAAGTCATTTGAATCAGATGTGAGTGGTTCAAGCTGACCAGTCACTCTTTGGAAACCCTATACAGGGTTGTTATGGGTCAGAATGGACTCGACGGGCACTCAACAACAGAGGTGCCCTTGGAAGACAGGACTTCAGAAATATCAGCCACTAAAAACCCCATAGAGCATGGTTCTACTCTGACACCAGTGGGGTTATCATGAGTTGGGATTAACTCCACAGCAACTGATTTTACTGGTTTGGGGTCAGGCCAGCCTGGATTTGAGTTCCTTGGGTCCTTAAGCCTCCCTCATCTGTGCAGTGGACTCAGGACCTCGTTCCTTTATGAGCAGGTAGCAAAGACAGCAAAGAAGCTAAGTCTTAGGCCAGTGGCTGTTAACTGT